TTCCCACTTCTAGGTATATAAAGTAAATAGAAAAAGAAAAAGAAACGACAATGCATCGTCGTTTTTAATATCATTCACTGATTTTCGATACAAGGGGACAACTTAGCTCCTCGATTATGTGACAGCAGTGATTTATCTGATCAACACATTATGTTTTACCCTTTCTTGTATTGTTTTCTTTACCTTGGATATTTTCATTTTCGGGTATTGAATTTTACATTTATTCTTCTATTTAATGAAGTTTGTTGTTGAGTTTTCAAAATGACAAGGTTACAAAAAAGTTGTTATATGATGATGTTCACGGTACATATACATGTTCAGAATCATCTGAAAAGTCTGAACAATAAATTAATTATTAATAGTGGCTTTTCATACAATTCAGTATGTTGTTGATCTGTACAGTGAAATAGCAACAACTGAACAGTCTGACGATAGATTGAACAGATCTTAATTGACTGCAAGCGAATTGTACGAGCTGTACTGAATTTACCGCAATAGATAAGTCTGAAAATTCACTGAATAACTGAAAATGACTTTTATATCTATTGTTCAGTCTTTTAAGACCAGAAATGATCAAAACGGCCGTTCCAGACTAAAACATATTTACAAGTGCGTATATTATATGCATACTAGGACGTGATTGAACTGTTCAAGTATTTTTTTTAACGTGCCCCCCAAAAAAAAACATGTTATTTGACCCGAACACATAATTAGAAGCAACCAATACCAATTTTCAAGTCTTTGGTTTGACCCAGCCGGGGATCGAACCCATAATTTTCTGCAATCAAGGCGAACACGCTACCACGAAACCACCTAGATATTAAATATTGAAATATATTTGCGCAAAAATACGTTAATATCAATCGATGACATATATGCGTCCGTACGATTGATTTTTTCCTATATTATGCATAGTGATGTTTTCGCTGTCGAATTCAAAATGGCGAAAAACCTTCCGGATCAGTGTTCATTTTTTAAGGAATGTTATTCTACAACTAACTGTTTATTTAAAATAAACCACGCCAACTGACCGTTCAGCTAAAATAAAACACGCCCACTGACCTAATATTGATATATATGTCTCCCCCGTGTTCGCTTTTAACCAATGATATTTCTATAAGTGTATAACAAATATTATATTACGTTAACCCTCATGATTTTAGCTGTTCAATTTATGCCTTTCTGGTCTCAAATGAATTACAATTTTGAATTTCAAAACCCTTGATCTTAGCGTACATTTAAGTGTTCTTTCAGAAACATCTATTGTATGCACTTTTATTATACTTTTTGGCAAGATATATATTGAACATTGAGACGGGGAACTTTTTGTGTGTTCGTGTAGTGATTTTGTATAGATTGATTCACCATATCCTCTCTTTTCCATTTTTTGTAAACTTTAACAGAAGGTGTCCATTGTTACGCTAATTTTTTCGCCTAAATTTTCGAATTGCACACCATGGATCTAAGGATGCTGAACTATGGTAATGGCGTGGTCTTTGTCGCTGATCTGTTCTCTAATTGGACGAAAATGCCATTTTTGATGTTCGAACTTACTTTTGTGTTTTAATTTTTTGTGATGTACAGCAGGTTATAGTTTTAAATATGGATATCTGAGACAAAAAAAAACAATCTTATAACAATTATTATATTACAATTAAAGTATTCTTAATAAATAGTTTTTTTTAACTACAAAACCAAATATTTAACTAGTGGAAAATTTCGAAACAATACAGAACGCATCAATCCATGCTGTTTTTTTTTTTTTTTTTTATTTTTATTTTTTTTTTTTTGCGGGCTTTCAAAGAACTTTAACATTCAAACCATTCAAAAATATATGCACACACTATATAACAATAGACTTAATTATGGACAGAAAATCTCACATCTTCAAGATAAACAGAATGAAGGTATTGAAATGGTCGTTATCTAATGCAAACATTTTTTTAGTTCACTTCCATCGCTCCCTTTGATTAATTATGCATATTAAAATAGTTTGTACAGGTAAATATTGGTTTACATCAGGTTCAGAATAGCTTTATTTTTTTTAGCTATTAATGCTATAAGAATATCTTCCTCTGACACTTTTCAAAGGGAAACGTCTCCACATTAATACAATTTTGTGCACACGCAAGAGCAATTGATAGACATAATTAAGTATTGAATATTTGTGGGTACAAGATATAATATTTAAATTAAAGAGTGTCAAAATATATTTAACAACTTTGATTACTTGTCGAAAGATTTCACATAGATCATCTCCCATCGGCGTCCGTCTGAGATATGCGCCGAAAAGGATTGCGTCTCTTATTGTTTAATTTATGCTTTTATAGTTACCATTGCCATTTCTTCCCTGTTTTTAATCCGTTTTTTGTTCAAGTTGTTATCTGTTACATTGTATATATATTCATCTTAATTTCACAGGCACTAGTCTCTGAAAAAATACTCGTTATATCTTTACAAGTTAATTAACGATTTAGATATACATAGTTCAACGGTTAGAGACTGCGTGTTTTCAATTTTCAGAATTGGCAGATTGTTTACGCCAAATTAACGACATTTAAATATGATCAAAAAGACATAAAAACAAATATGCTCCCATCTGAAGACAAGCCTAACTCTGAATTACTAGCCAAACACGTGAAGACCTATATGACCAAACAGGAAATAAACAAATAATTTCAACTATGCAAAAGGAAGTTTGAACCTTACTTTTTTAATATTTTTTCAATCTATCATCGGACAATTTGATTGTAAAAGTCACACCTTTTAATAGTAGCAAATTAAATTGTATAGTATAATAATTGTACTATTAGCCGATACTTATAAGATATGAGATGGACGGCACGCTATTGATATATGCAAAATCTATTTAACCTTTTTTATTTTATATATATATGTATATCAGCACAACTGTGTTAAATCTGCAAATTTGCGGAAGCAAATTTTTGTTCATCCCTCGCCGGGATTCGAACTCATGGTATTGGGATATCGAGACAACAACGCCTGCACTGTGTCCAGCGCTCTAGACCACTCATTCACCTAGACTGAACAAAATTCTGCTTTCGGTGGCCTATTGTTACCTTTCCTCGTCAGTAGAATCTAGAGTACATGATATATTAGGCATGAAGATGGTATTGATTGCAGATTAGGTAAATAATCTATCGTAAGATGCAGTCACAGAAATAATTATATGATAAGTACGTCTAAACAAGTGATAAGTGATGTATATATATATAAGTGATGGAGGACATTCATAAACAATCAAAGTGATATTCAAGACAAAGATCAGATCAGTACATGACAGTAGCAATTAGGAACATAAGATTTCAATGTTCAACTAAGTGTCTGACCTTATCTTAAAATGGTAATTTCAGCTATTTTTGTGACATACCTTATAGATTTAAAGATTTATATCTCACTGGATGGTACCCAATATAAAGAAAGGACATGATTTATAAAGGGAGCAAACAGACGGGTTTGTGGATTTAGATACCAGAAAAACAACTGACTGCAACGATATGCAAAGCTCTGATAATACCTGTTAAAATGTTTATCATAAATTATGTGGTTCTAGAATTACCTGTGCACTATTCCATGACAAAGTTTGTCCACTAAAACAATAGCATGCGCCAAAGTCGTCACGTCGCATCCATCCTCCGTCGCAGTTAAGTGTATCCTCTGCCAATCCTATTAACAATATGAGAATATATATAATTTGTAAGTTTGCACAAAATATCATTTCTACATGCATAATTGTTATACTGGTTATTGTTTTTTGCGATTCCTTTTACTTAACTGGATAAATAAGAAAAGTTGTTTCTTGGTTAGCCTGTGCACATGTGCATACTTTCATGCCACACACTTATACATTAAACCGATGAAAAGATTTTATGATGACAGTAGAAAATAATTTTGAGACTTAGTATAAGCATTAAATTTAAATAAAATCGAAACCAATATTGTGTCCAAATTGATACCAACGAGGAAAGTGCTTAATGTAAGATTGAAGTATATAAATCTGTAAGTAAAACAATTACACAATGCTGGTTAACTGATGAACTTGAAAGAAGATATTTATATTGAAATATTGATCTCTAGACTGGTTCCTTGTCATTTATCTGTTTGACTCTAACAACTAGGGTGGCTTAGATACCCGTATGTTGATAGTTTGTGAAACAATGTGTACACATCATAATTTATAAAAAATACATATGTTTAACATTTATGCAGTAGAAAGAACTTTTGTTTTTAAATTGATAGCAAGTGGCATCGATTTTAAATCAATAATATTTATCCCTTGCCTGAAAATTCAAGTCCCAGTATTTGACCCATTATTTAACCCATTATTCATAGGATCAAACTCATGTAAATGAAGAATTATATATTGTCCATGGTTCCGCGTACTGTAGACACAAGAAATGTTTTAGTTTCATACAGAGAAAAAATTGTCGTTTGTTAGTAGTTTATTTGAAAGTAAAAATTTAGTTCTATACAAATTAAGGAGATGTGTTATGATTGCCTATGAGACAACTATCCCCATAGACCAAATGGCGTAGATGTTAGCAACTATAGGCCGCCGTACGGCCTTCAAAAATGAGCAAAACCCATACCGCATATAATTTTATAAAAGGCACCGACATAGCAATATGTAAAACAATTTAAATGAGAAAACAGTATATGCTTGATTTATGTACAAAACAAAAACTGAAAAACAAATATGACACACAGCAACAAACGACAATTAATGGGTTTACAGAACAGAGAATTATGATCAAAACATAGAGAATAAAAGGAAACAAAATTAGTAATTGAGAAAACTTTGCAAATAAATAAAAAAATTATAGCCGAAAATAATGTGTAAAAGAGCAGATACTAATTGCATAAAAACTATATAGCAGGAAAAACTTGCATCAAAAATAAATTAATACAAAAATAAAGATCCCCTTCCCCCGATTCAGAACTTCATATATCTCTAAAGGATCTTTCACCATAAGAATAACCTGGACAACAGCTGGATGGTAAGCAATTCATGTGCTCAATACATTTTCCTGTGCAGTTTTTTCCGCTATATTGAGGATGTGGATTAGAACATTGGCGATAACGTAGAAGGGTACCGACATCACATGTGACACTGCAGGGTTCCTGCATCCAAACGCTCCATTGTCCGTCAACTGAAAATATACATCTTTTTATATTATTTCCATTTATAATAATATGTTTTTTGAAACAAATAGTTAAACAAATCATTGCAATAAACAAGTCTTAAAACTGCGAAGATGAAAAAAGTGATCATTTACAATTTGAAGAGCTTTTTTTTGTGTGAAAAATTGTAATAGACTATTTTAAACTATAAAGTTTCACAGTTACTGTATATTTCTGGTATCATTGCAGCTGTGTGCGGTAGATATGAAAATTGTTTTTTAACAACATCAGACATAACATTGCGGTTTTTTTTTCTTCATATTTTTATGTAAAGATGTTTTGATTGATGATGCTAATTTCAACATGCAGGTTCAAGTAGTGTAGTTGCATTTTAACAGACATTGACTGTGCATCACTTCTTGACGGTAAATTTCAAAATTGTTCAAAATAGTTTCCGTCTTGCTTAATATCCGACCATGTTTTATTAAATATATATAAATAAATTACTCTCCTTAAATTTGGAAAATCTCAAAAACGTAATCATTCCCACTTCTAGGTATATAAAGTAAATAGAAAAAGAAAAAGAAACGACAATGCATCGTCGTTTTTAATATCATTCACTGATGTTCGATACAAGGGGACAACTTAGCTCCTCGATTATGTGACAGCAGTGATTTATCTGATCAACACATTATGTTTTACCCTTTCTTGTATTGTTTTCTTTACCTTGGATATTTTCATTTTCGGGTATTGAATTTTACATTTATTCTTCTATTTAATGAAGTTTGTTGTTGAGTTTTCAAAATGACAAGGTTACAAAAAATTTGTTATATGATGATGTTCACGGTACATATACATGTTCAGAATCATCTGAAAAGTCTGAACAATAAATTAATTATTAATAGTGGCTTTTCATACAATTCAGTATGTTGTTGATTTGTACAGTGAAATAGCAACAACTGAACAGTCTGACGATAGATTGAACAGATCTTAATTGACTGCAAGCGAATTGTACGAGCTGTACTGAATTTACCGCAATAGATAAGTCTGAAAATTCACTGAAAAACTGAAAATGACTTTTATATCTATTGTTCAGTCTTTTAAGACCAGAAATGATCAAAACGGCCGTTCCAGACTAAAACATATTTACAAGTGCGTATATTATATGCATACTAGGACGTGATTGAACTGTTCAAGTATTTTTTTTAACGTGCCCCCCAAAAAAAACATGTTATTTGACCCGAACACATAATTAGAAGCAACAAATACCAATTTTCAAGTCTTTGGTTTGACCCAGCCGGGGATCGAACCCATGATTTTCTGCAATCAAGGCGAACACGCTACCACGAAACCACCTAGATATTAAATATTGAAATATATTTGCGCAAAAATACGTTAATATCAATCGATGACATATATGCGTCCGTACGATTGATTTTGACACATAAACATTTTAAAACATTAGCAAGAAACATTGTTCTGTTGATTTTTTCCTATATTATGCATAGTGATGTTTTCGCTGTCGAATTCAAAATGGCAAAAAACCTTCCGGATCAGTGTTCATTGAACCAGTGTTGCACAAAAATATTATCAGCACAGTGTTGATGATGCTTTATCAGAATAACAACAGGTCCTTGTAAATAAATAGCGTCAGACAAAAATCTTCGAAGCATTTTAAAATAGGGATTGGATTTATTCTAAAATTAGTTGAACCCTACACATGTTCTCGTGCCTGTTAGAAATCAGAAACCACGTCAGGTGCTGTTTATAGTTATGTCTCTATGTGTAGTGTCTTTTTATGAATTAGGTGTCTACGGAAGATCTGTATAGTCTGTGATTTTATGCTTTTTTTTGTTGCAGTTCGTATGTTACCTTTATATGTCTTTAGTTCGATCGTTGTTGTTTGGTCACGATATCTTTGACGTTAACCCCAAAACTCCTTTATTCGTACTTACCGGAACAGTGTTCACTAATACAATGTCTTCGTAAAATTTCAGTTTCATTATCGAGACAATGATCATTCTTTTGACATAAACTGGTTCTAACCGCTTCCTGTACACCAATCCCACATGATTTTGAGCATGATCCCCATTGCCAGTCACTAAATCTTATTTCTATGCCATCAATGTCATTTAATGAAGCCGCTAAAAAAGTGTCTTTTTTTTGAATATTTTGCATCAAACATAATATTTTTAGGCGATATTTTTTTTATTTCCTTAAAAAAATACATATAAGTTTCCTCAAACATACACATCTTTGTTCTTTGATGGATAGTTGTATCTAGCGTTTTGTATTTACGCCAGTGAGCCTTTCATTTGTCCAAAGATATTTCCCATTTGCGTCATTTGTTTTTTTCATTTGCGCCAAAAAAATATATTCCATTTGATATAATAATTTAAGGTCAACAAATGCGAAAATAATTTGTAGATTACATCTAAGACCTTTCCGTTTGCTTTTTGTCCCTACTAACCAGTGGAGAAGGAAGTAAGATAAGTTTCTTCAACCTTTAATATCAATATGTTAAATAGCTCTTAAAGGTCTAGTTTACGACAATAGATAACACATTGATGTCATACTTACATGTCCATTTTGGTAGAGTAATTGAAGGCAACATTCGTTTGTTTGGTCAACGCGTAATTTCACCTCTAACTTTGAGAACAAAATCCGTTTTGAAAATTCCATCAATAATTATTTAATTTCCTTGGTATGTTCGTTGTGAAGGAGATCATTTTAAAGAAAAGTTCATAAATTTTTTACCTCTACTAGTATTGTTTATACATATATACATATACCGTAAACATGTCACAACATACCGGCTGTCCTGCAATAAACCATTGCATCGCATTTTTGCGCCTGTTCCAAGTCAGGAGCCTCTGGAATTTGTTAGTCTTGTATGTTTTTTTTTTTTTTTTTTTCATTTTAGTTCATTTATATGTTTCGGAGTTTAATGTGACGTCCATTTTCACTGAACTAGTATACATTTTTGTTTAAGAGCCAGCTGAAGACCGCCTCCAGGGGCAGGATTTTCTCGCTGTGTTGAAGACCCTTTGGTTGCCTTGGGCTGTTTTTTGCTCTCTTTGGTGGGGTTGTTGTCTCTTTGACACATTCCCTATTTCCATTCTCAATTTTATTGGTTATATATCTTAAAGAACTACGATCTTTCCTGAATTGTTTTAAAATGGCACAAATTAATATTGATTTTTGGCGCAAAACGAAAAGTTAGTTTAACGCCAATGAAAATTTTGAATGACTCTTATACGAGTTTGTGGATTTAGATACCAGAAAAACAACTGACTGCAACGAGATGCAAAGCTCTGATAATACCTGTTAAAATCATAAATTATGTGGTTCTAGAATCACCTGTGCACTATTCCATGACAAAGTTTGTCCACTAAAACAATAGCATGCGCCAAAGTCGTCACGTCGCATCCATCCTCCGTCGCAGTTAAGTGTATCCCCTGCCAATCCTATTACCAATAACTATCCCCATAGACCAAATGGCGTAGATGTTAGCAACTATAGGTCGTCGTACGGCCTTCAAAATAGAGAAAAACCCATACTGCATATCATGTTATTAAAGGCACCGATATAGCAATATGTAAAACAATTTAAATGAGAAAATAGTATACGCTTGATTTATTTACAAAAAAAACCTGAAAAACAAATATGACACACAGCAACAAACGACAATTAATGGGTTTACAGAACAGAGAATTATGGTCAAAACATAGAGAATAAAAGGAAACAAAATTAGTAATTGAGAAAACTAGGCATATAAATAAAAAAAATTAAAGCCGAAAATAATGTGTAAAAGAGCAGATAACAATTGCATAAAATTATATAGCAGGAAAAAGATTGCATAAAAAGTAAAGAAATACAAAAATAAAGATCCCCTTCCCCCGATTCAGAACTTCATATATCTCTAAAGGATCTTTCACTATAAGAATGACCTGGACAACAGCTGGATGGTAAGCAATTCATGTGCTCAACACTTTTTCCTGTGCAGTTTTTCTCTCCAAAATGAGGATGTGGATTAGAACATTTGCAATAACGTAGACGGGTACCGACATCACACGTGACACTGCAGGGTTCCTTTATCCAAACGCTCCATTGTCCATCAACTGAAAATATATATGTGTTTATATTATTTCTTTTTATTATAATTTGTTTTTTAAAACAAAAATTTGAAAAGATCATTGCAATTAGCAAGTCTTGAAACTGCGATGATGAAAAAAAGTGATCATTTACACTTTGAAGAGCTGTCTTTTTTTGTGGGTGACAAATTGTAATAGACCATTTTTAACTATAACGTTTCACAGTTACTGTATATTTCTGGTAGCATTGCAGCTGTGTGGGATAGATATAAAAATTGTTTTTAACAACATCAAACATAACATTGCAGTTTTTTTTTTTCTTTTTATTCATATTTTTATGTAAAGATGTTTTGATTGATGATGCTAATTTCAACATTCAGGTTAAATTAGCATAGTCGCATTTTAAGATATTGACTGTGCATCACTTCTCGAAGGTAAATTTCAAAATTGTTCAAAATAGTTTCCGTCTTGCTTAATATCCGACCATGTTTTTTTTAATATATATAAATAAATTACTCTCCTTAAATTTAAGAATTTTAGAAAATCTCTAAAACGTAATCATTCCCTCTTCTAGATATATAAAGTAAATAGAAATAGAAACAGAAACGACAATGCATCGTCGTTTTTTATATCATTCACTGATGTTCGATACAAGGGGACAACTTAGCTCCTCGAATATGTGACAGCAGTGACTTATTTGATCAACAAATTATGTTTTACCCTTTCTTGCATTGTTTTCTTTACCTTGGATATTTTCATTTTCGGGTATTGAATTTTACATTTATTCTTCTATTTAATGAAGTTTGTTGTTGAGTTTTCAAAATGACAAGGTTACAAAAAAGTTGTTATATGATGATGTTCACGGTACATATACATGTTCAGAATCATCTGAAAAGTCTGAACAATAAATTAATTATTAATAGGGGCTTTTCATACAATTCAGTATGTTGTTGATCTGTACTGTTACTATTGTTCAGTCTTTTAAGACCAGTAATGATCAAAACGGCCGTTCCAGACTAAAACATATTTACTAATGCGTATATCATATCCATACTAGGACGTGATTGAACTGTTCAAGTATTTTTTTTAACGTGCCCCCCCAAAAAAAACATGTTATTTGACCCGAACACATAATTAGAGGCAACAAATACCAATTTTCAAGTCTTTGGTTTGACCCAGCCGGGGATCGAACCCATAATTTTCTGCAATCAAGGCGAACACGCTACCACGAAACCACCTAGATATTAAATATTGAAATATATTTGCGCAAAAATACGTTAATATCAATCGATGACATATATGCGTCCGTACGATTGATTTTGACACATAAACATTTTTAAAAATTAGCAAAAAACATTGTTCTCTTGATTGTTTCCTATATTATGCATAGTGATGTTTTCGCTGTCGAATTCAAAATGGCGAAAAACCTTCCGGATCAGTGTTCATTGAACCAGTGTTGCACAAAAATGTTATCAGCACAGAGGTGATGATGCTTTATCAGAATAACAACAGGTCCTTGTAAATAAATAGCGTCAGACAAAAATCTTCGAAGCATTTTAAAATAGGGATTGGATTTGATCTAAAATTAGTTGAACCCTACATATGTTCTCGTGCCTGTTAGAAATCAGGAACCACGTCAGGTGCTGTTTTTAGTTATGTCTCTATGTGTAGTGTCTTTTTATGAATTAGGTGTCTACGGAAGATCTGTATAGTCTGTGATTTTATGCATTTTTTTTGTTGCAGTTCGTATGTTACCTTTATATGTCTTTAGTTCGATCGTTGTTGTTTGGTCACGATATCTTTGACGTTAACCCCAAAACTCCTTTATTCGTACTTACCGGAACAGTGTTCATTAACACAATGTCTTCGTAAAATTTCAGTTTCATTATCGAGACAATGATCATTCTTTTGACATATACTGGTTCTGACCCTTTCCTGTACACCAATCCCACATGGTTTTGAGCATGATCCCCATTGCCAGTCACTAAATTTTATTCCTATGCCATCAATGTCATTTAATGAAGCCGCTAAAAAAGTGTGAGTACTTGAAAGATCTTTTTTTGAATATTTTGCATCAAACATAATATTTTTAGGCGATATTTTTTTTATCTCCTTACAAAAATACATATAAGTTTCATCAAACATACACATCTATGTTCTTTGATGGATAGTTGTATCCAGCGTTTTGTATATACGCCAGTCAACCTTTCATTTGTCCAAAGATATTTCCCATTTGCGTCATTTGTTTTTTTCATTTGCGCCAAAAAAAAATATTTCATTTGATATAATAATTTAAGGTCAACAAATGCGAAAATAATTTGTAGATTACATCTAAGACCTTCCCGTTTCCTTTCTGTCCCTACTAACCAGTGGAGAAGGAAGTAAGATAAGTTTCTTAAACCTTTTAATATCAATATGTTAAATAGCACTTAAAGGTCTAGTTTACGACAATAGATAACACATTGATATCATACTTACATGTCCATTTTGGTAGAGTAATTGAAGGCAACATTGGTTTGTTTTGTCAACGCGTAATTCACCCCTTACTTTGAGAACAAATAATTAATACCGGCTGTCTTGCAATAAACCATTGTATCGCATTTTTGCGCCTGTTCCAAGCCAGGAGCCTCTGGCATTTGTTGGTCTTGTATGTTGGTTTTTTTTTTTTTTTTTTTAGTTCATTTATATGTTTCGAAGTTTAGTGTGACGTCCATTTTCACTGGACTAGTATACATTTTTGTTTAGGGGCCAGCTGAAGACCGCCTCCAGGGGCAGGATTTTTTCGCTGTGTTGAAGACCCTTTGGTGGCCTTGGACTGTTTTTTGCTCTCTTTGGTGGGGTTGTTGTCTCTTTTACACATTCCCTATTTCAATTCTCAATTTTATTGGTTATATATCTAAAAGAACTACGATCTTTCCAGAATTGATTTAAAATGGCACCAATTAATATCGATTTTTGGCGCAAAACGAAAAGTTAGTTTGACGCCAATGAAAATTTTTAATGACTCTTATACGAGTTTGTGGGTTTAGATACCAGAAAAACAACTAACT